ACCGGTGCACGCTCTCCCAATGCCCCCCCCCCGCCCCATTCTTTAGTCCATCCTCACAGATGCTTGTGGTCTGTAGTTTCCACCCTGCAAGCAAGCCTAAGGTTGGGAGTTGATCATAGCCATGGGGAGCATGCATTGTCATATATAGGATGCCAAGCTACAGCCCAGTTCCTATAAAATACGGGAAGGTGTCTTGAGCAGATGGGGTTTTGGTGTTTCAGTTCTTTTACAAAACAATTTCTTCACTGTAAAGCTGATTTCTAGCTGACTTTCCTTAAAGGAACAGAGGGCTGTACAAAATGTGTCAGTATCTGCACATGCAAGCTGAAGATGTTGTGGTATATTTAATGCATGTTATGGTATTTTAAGATTGCTGAATTTTGGATATTTCCCAATGTTTTGACTAGCAAAACACATGGGATCCTGGTAGGTCTGCATGACTGAAGACACACATATAAATTGGAAAATTTCCACAAACAGTATGACTCTGCCTGTCTGTCAAGAGTGATCTCTCCCTGAGCCTGCTTAAACTGGAGTCAGTGGACTTATATTCTTATCTAAGCATATAAACAAAGTGAAAGCGTTGGTCCTCTTACATCTTTTTGTTAATATGTAAGTAAGATCCCTAGACCAACTTTGATTTCTCAATACCTGGATCTAATACAACAACTTATGCTCTCTGCCCGCTTTCCCTCTTTGCCCCCTGCCAATTTTCATTTTTGCATTTTGAATGAAAAAAAAGAAGAAAGACTGTTCTGGTGAGCAAAATTGTCAAATTTACTTTGAAATCACTAGTTCCTTATGGAGGAAAAGGTACCATTTTTACAAAAACTTATAAATACAGATTGTTAGATGGTATAGTAGTGTACAACTCGAATGGACTTTGAATCAAGTGAAGGATTCATGCTGATTTTATTGTATCTGTCTATATACCTTCATTACTGCAATCAAAAGGCATATATATTTTCAATGTCTTCTTAATCTAATTTATTTTTTCTCACTATTATTACCTTCCTGGTTGTTCTTGGACTTACCTGTATTTCTTAAATGTAATAAACTGGGGCAGGGGAAGGGGTGTCATTAGATGAAAGGAAGCCCAATTTAGCATTGACCAAGAATTTTCACCAAGTGTTCAGCAGCCCACACAAAAACATTGCGGTTGTTGGGTTTTTCTGAGTGGGAAGGCTGAGGAGATGGCGGGGGAGGGACATGCAGATAAGCCCCTTTACTGAAGAAGGAAATAACGGAGGCTTTTTGCAATATGTGCAAGTGGGTGGC